GTTTCTCCATAGTCCCCCTCAGCCCTCAGGCCTTCTGCCCCTCGCTCCTTAGCCACTCACAGAAGAGAAGTGGGAAGACACATGGACATCTATCTGCAGCCAGCAGCTGCCGTTTTCTGGCTGAGGGTTTTTGTAACAGAAGCCTCTTGGGCTATTGGGGGCTGGTCACAGGGCCTCAGCTGTCCCAGACAACGTGCTGCAAGTGGTTTTGCTTTTGAGGAACCTAACACCTAGGCCCTCAAGGACTTCTGTAATGAAGCATGTCCTAAGGCTTCTACCAGCCACGGCTCCATTTCTCTCACACCTCCTGGCTTCTACCCACTTAATTCCATCCAGGGCTTTGGGTTCAAGGAGATGTGGGAAGATGATGGCTAGAGCATCTTTGCTTCTAGAATGACTCTTGGCTGTGCTGAAACTTAAGGGAAGAAAGACAGCTTGAAACATGAATCTTAGCTTGACAGTGTGTGTGTGTGTGTGTGTGTGTGTGTGTAGCTGAACATGGTGATGTATGCATGCCTATTATCCCAGTGTTCAGGAAACTGAGGCCGGAGAATCTCTAGAGCCCAAGAGGTTGACACCAAACAGCACATGCTACTCTTGCAGGGGACCCAGGTTGGAGTCCCAGCACCACAAGGCAGCCCACAGTGTATTCTATATCTATTTAAATAGAAAAAATTTTTTAAAAGTAGGTGTGATAACACATATCTTTAATCCCAGCATTTTGGAGGCAGAGATAGGGAGATCTCTGAGTTCAAGGCCAGACTGGCCCAGATAGTGAGTCCCAGGCCAGTCAAGGCTACATAGAGAGACACTGATGTCAAAAATAAACAAATAAATGAATAAGTAAAATTTTCTATAAATTTCCTGAAGTCCTCTTCAAAATTATTACGTTAATAATGTTGACGTTGTATGTACATGCGTGTATATTTTCCATGTGATTTTCATGTGTACATGCTTGTACATGTGTACGTAAAAGCCAGAGGACAACCTGGGCTGTTGTTCCTCAGTTTTTCAGATTTAAAAAAGACTTACATATATGGATGTTTTGCCTATTTGTGTGTGTGAGCTACTATGAAGGTGCTGGGAATGAAGCCTGGGACCTCTGCAAGAACGGTAAGGGCACTTGATCACTGAGCTGTGGTGATATTTTGTTTGTGCTTTAATAAATAAAGCTTGCCTGAAGATGAGAGGTACAGAGTCAGCCACTAGTTAACCAGAGACACCAGGCAGTGGTGGCACACAACTTTAATTCCAGCACTGAGGAGGCAGAGGCAGGCAGATCAAGGTCACCCTGATTGATCCAGTCTAAAAGAGAAATAGAGTCAGGCAGTGATGGCTCACACCTTTAATCTCAGTATTTGGGAGGTGGAAACAGGAATGATATGGCTGAGAGGAATATAAGGCTGGAGGAGACAGGAGCTCATTGCATTCAGTCTAAGGATTTGTAAGGACAGGATCACTCCTTTGGTCTGAGGATTCAGTAGAGATAAGAACTAGTGTCTGACTGCCCTGCTTCTGATCTTTCAGCTTTAGCCCTTATATCTGACTCCTGGTTTTTATTATTAAAACCATTTAGAATGCATACTACACTGAGCTTTGTCTCCAGTGCCCACCCTGTATTTTTGAGACAAGGTCGGTCTTTTGTGGGGATCTTGAGCTCACTGATTAGGCTATGATGGTTAATGTGGGTGCCAGGAAATTGAACTCAGGTCCTCATGCTTGCATGACAAGCATTTTACTGACAGGTATCTCGTTAGACCCATATTTGACACTATTTTTACTAAATTTTCCCATAAACTCTCTCTATATGTGTGATATGTGTTTTTTCTTCTGTCTCCTGAGTGTTGGGATTTAAGGTGTATGCTGCCATGCTTGGCTATATTCTTAAATGGGAATCTACTCAGTTTGTGGGTGCTTGGGTATCTGACACTCACAGGGAAAGTTCTGCTAAATAGAACACTTTTTTGGTTGTTTTGTTTGTTTGTTTGTTTTGTTTTGTTTTTTTGAGACAGAGTTTCTCTATGTAGCTCTGACTGACTGGAACTTGCTCTGTAGACCAGGCTGGCCTCAAACTCAGAGATCCTCCTGCCTCTGCCTCCAGAGTACTGGGATAAAAGCTGTGCACCACCACTGGCAGGCAGCAGAGGACATTCTCAATTCTGATTTTTCATATTATAATTTGTAGGTTTTGTTCCTAGGTTCCACTGTCTAAAAAGAACACATTTGAGATGGAAAGAATATAGCAGCGAGACTGCGGGGCTCAGAGTCAGGTTTTTATTAGCTGGGCAGCTTTAGGTAGGGTCAGTCCCCTCCTCTGTGAGACAGAGATGATTCTACCCCATGTACACCAGGGACCAACACAGCCCTGACACATCAGGCACTCAGGTCACAGGGGCTGCTCTTGTCTCTAGCGGCCACCTGACCTGGCATTCACTATTGGCTTCCACCTTCAACCTTTCCTGTGGGCCTGCTTGATTGGCTCTGCCCCTGACAGACACTGTGTGAAAGGTGTTTAGGTCCCAGGCAGTAGCCCCGGAACAGTCATCCTTCTGTGTGGGGCACTGCCATGTGCACGAGCACTTGGTATGGACTTGAGTTCAACCCTCAAGACAGTCTTGTAGGGTAAATGCAGCGTGGGGATCATGAGTCCCTGGCTGCATGCCTAAGTGCTGTTGACTTCTGGCTGGCTTTTGGCATTGGTCCGTGGGCATCTCAGGCAAAGATCAGAGGAAGGGCAGACAGGGAAGCCATTCATGTCTTTGATGTCTCCCCTCCCCCTGCCCCATAAGGTCACCCAGGCTAGGGTCAGACCCCAGAAGGAGGCCACTGCTTCTTTCTTCTCTGGATTCCATTTAGTAATGGTAGTGCTGCTACTATTACCCTACCCGAGTTCTAGCATAACCCCCTGCATTGCTCCCAGACTCTTTTCCAGCTCTGTAAACAGTTCCTTTGCAAAACAGGCCAGCCTATCCGCACTGCTTCTCAGCTCTGTGTAGAACAAAGCTTAGATTGTCCTGGGCCTTATCACTTATCAGTTTACTGCTTTCTTTCTTTTTTTTTTTTTCTTTTTTTTTTCCAGACAGGGTTTCTCTGTAACTTTGGAGCCTGTTCTGGAACTTTCTCTGTAGACCAGGCTGGTCTTGAACTCATAGAGATCTACCTGTCTCTACCTCCTAAATGCTGGGAGTAAAGGCTGGGATTAAATGCTTGCTTCTCCTATTTTTTAATTTCGATTTTTTTTTTTAAGATTTGGGGGCCAGGCGGTAGGTAGTCTCGAATGCTTTTAATCCCAGCATTCTGGAGACAGAGGCAGGTGGATCTCTGAGTTCAAAGCCAGTGTGGTCTAGAGCAAGTTCCAAGACAGTCAGGGCTATACAGAGAAACAAACAAGATTGGGTGGGGGGGTGCTGGGAAGATGGCTCAGCAGGCCAAGTGCTTATGGCACAAGCATGAGGATCTGATTTTGGATCCCTAGCACCCATGTAAGAAGCCAAGCATGTGCCAGCGCACACCTGTAACACTGGGGATGCAGACAGAAGGAGCCTGAGGGCTCACTGGCCTGCCAGTCAGCTGAAACTCAAACTTCCAGTCCAGTGTGAGACTCAGTGTCAAGAAATAATGTGAAGGATAAACCAGTATCAGCCTCTGGCCTCCACAAATACTTCCCAGGCCAGTATACCCCACACATATGAACACACGTGCATACACCATATACATAAGCCAACAGACAAAAAATAAAAATAGGGCCAGTAGGATGACTCAGTAGTGAAGGCACTTGCTGGCAGCCTTGGGGGGAGGGGGAGGAGAGAGAGGGAGGAAGAGGAGAGAGGGAGGGAGGGAGGGAAGGAGAGGGGACAAAAGAGAGAGAGAATTCAGGCATAACAGCACATGTCTCTGACCCCAGAACTGGGCAGGTGGATAGATGAGCAGCTCCCTGAAGCTCATTGTCAAGCCAGTCTAGTCAAATCAATGAGCCCCAGGTTTGGCGAGAGAGCCTAATTCAAAATATAAGGAGAAGCCAGGTATGGTGGCATGTGACTTTAATCCCAGCACTCGGGAGTCAAGACCAGGCAGATCTTGATGAATTCAAGGCCAGCCTGGTCTTCAGAGTGAGTGCCAGGCCAGCCACCCAGGGCTATATCCTGACATAGTGATACAAAATCTAAAAATAAAAGAAAGTGATCAATGAAAAAAACACCTGATGTCTACTCTAGCCACCACCACATCTGAATACACACATGGCACATACACACACATAGTCACAAACATAGCTCACAAACTGTCCACGTTATTTAGTACCATTTGTGAAGTATTCCAAATTTCACTAATAGCTGGCCATCAGCAATTACAAGTTCTTTTAATACAGTTTTGGTGTGGCTGGGGAAGGGTCATGGAGGCCAGAGGATGTCAGTGAGTGTCTTGTTTTTATCACTCTCTGACTTACTCCTTTGTGACAGGGTCTCTTACTCCAGCTACCTGGACCTAGGCTGCTAGCCAGCAAACTGCAGTGATCCTCCTGTCTCCAGTTCCCATGGCATTGGCGTTTCTGTTTCTTTCAAGTACCGGGAACTGGCCGCTTTGTACACTCCCTCCATTCCTTCCCTGCCCTGATGGACTGTAACTATGAGCTAAAACAAGTATTCCTTCCTTGAGCTGTGTTTGCCAGGTGTTTTACTATAGCAATGAGAAAGGTAACTACTTCCCGAATTACTAGGGAGAGGTAGGGCCACCGACATAGTAAATCTGATCAGGTAGTTCTTAGATCTTTAGAACTAGTTTACAGGCAGAATGTGGAAGAGTTTGGAACTTTGGGCTAGAGAAGCCCTACTCTGTAACAAACAGAGAACTTAATGAGTCATTCTGGTGGAATTTCAAAGAAATGTTGACAGAAATGTAGACAGTGGAGGCCCAACTCACGGATTTTCAAACAAGAAACAAGGACTATGGGGAACTGGGCTAGAGGCTACTCGTGTTATATTTTGGTAAAGAATCTAGCTACAGTGCTGGCTTTGGCATCACAAATACTAAAATTGGAACCATACAGAGATTAGCATGGCCCCTGCGCAAGGATGACACACAATTTTGAGAAGCGTTCCATATTTAAAAAAAAAATGAATCTGGCTACATTCTTTTCTTGTCCCAAGAACTTGGGTGAAACTGAATTTAAACATCATGACTCCTTTGTTTGGCAGAGGCAATTTCAAGATAGTATTGTATTCAGGCCATGGCATGGTCACTCCTCCTCCTCAGATCTACAGTAAGAGAGAGCAGAAAGATAGGGAAATGTGAAGTATGCTATGAAAGCGAATGATTTTAAAGTTAAAGACAAAGCAGCTCTGGTTGTTACAGTAGTTAACAGGCTTAGAAACCTTGTGGACCTGGGAAGGTGGCTCAGTGGTTAAAAGTGTTTACTGCTCTTCCAGAGGACCCAAGTTCTCTTCTCACCACCCACACCCGCATCAACCAACTCACATTGGTCTATCTTAATTTGAAGTAGGAAGATCACTTTTTTTTTTTCTGAGACAGGGTTTCTCTGTGTCTTTGGAGGCTGTCCTGGAACTCACTCTGTAGACCAGGCTGGCCTTGAACTCACAGAGATTCACATTGGTCTGTCCAGCTCAAGGAAACCTGGTGCCTCTTTTGGCTTTCATGGACACAGAAACACACAAATATACACACAATTAAAAATAGAGAGAGAGAGAGAGAGAGAGAGAGAGAGAGAGAGAGAGAGGGAGAGAGGGAGAGGGTGCACTGCTGTTCTGCACTGGGACAATAGGAAAGATATACTAAAGACAAGATCGAATGAGTCAAAGTGTCCATCTTGTGAAATTGCAAAGTATTTAAAGGAGGGAACCTTAACTTATAATGCCGCTGAAGGGGTACCTACTCATAACACACACACACACACACACACACACACACACACACACCCTCAGGCACACAGAGAGTACTGCAGATGTGGTCCAAGGACCCAAGGACGCCGATCTCTATCTTGAGCTGGCAGTGGGACTTGGCAGCGTCAGCAATGAGGTACTGATTTTGTAAGCATGACAAATGCAAGACTGGAGGGGTCATGGGGTCTGACATCAAGTTTCTGGAGAGCTGGTGAGGTCAGGCGAATATGTCAGAGCCAGGGTCCCTGCAGGGAAGCCCTGAGAGGCCATCTTTTGAAACTGTAAGGTAAAGTCCAAGTGCAGTGGAGATCCCAGGATTCAAGGGATAGAGTGTTTTCCAGAGAGAACTTGCAGACACACAGTCAAACTAGTCCAAGAGACTAGTCCAAGAGAGAGATTACAAGTATTGCAGGAGGCTGAGCAGGAGCCCAGAAGATCCCATTATGAGTCCCAGATGCCACACACATGAAGCTGCATTACTTGTGTTTCCCCTGCTAATTTCAGACTTTACTTTGGTTTCTTTGCTGTGCTTCGTTTCTCCTTTTTGGAACAAGAATGTTTACTCTGTATGTGTGTAGTAACAACTGTCTAACTCCAAGATCTGACACCTCCACACAGATATACATGGAGGAAGAAAATCAGTGCACATAAAATAAAAATAAGTAAGCTAAAAAAAGAAGTATATAACTTGTCAGATTTTTGTTATAACAGTGTTATAAACAGTGTTTATAATATAAACACAAAATTTAGCATTTTAGGTCAGTTTGTTTGTTTGTTGGCAGGGTCTCATGCATCTTACCACAATGCAGTCCAGGGTGAACCTGGCTCTTAATTGTCCTATCTCTATATCCCAAGTGCTGGGATTTCTCCACCTCAACGCCATTCTGATGTGATTACTTTAAAGTATATAGTTCAGTGGCTTTTAGTACATTCACATTGTTGTGCAAATATCATCACCAACTATCTCAAGAACTTTCTCATCTTTACCAATTAAGACAGAGAAACCGAATTTAATAATTTAAAAAAAGAATACAAGCCTTATTGTAAATATATATCTTCAATATTGTATTAATTACCTTTTTGTTTGTTTGTTTGAGACAGGGTTTTTCTGTGTATCTTTGAGTGTCCTGGAACTCACTTATATACCAGGCTGGCCTCGAAATCACAGAGATCTGCCTACCTCTGCCTCTTGAGAGCTGGCATTAAAGGCATGCGCCACCACGCCTGGCTGTATTAGCTACTTTTATTATCTCTATGACAAAAGCAACTTAAGGGAAGAAGAGTTATTTGCTCACAGTTTGAAAAGATACAGTCCAGCAGGGAAAGCTTGGTGGCAGGAGAGGAGGCAACTGGCCAGACTGTGTCCCCAGTCAGGGAGCAGAGAGATGAAAGCTGTGGCCCGCCCGCTCACTTTCTCCTTTTCATTCAACCCAGGACCCTAGTCCATGGATAGTAGCCCACATTCAGGGTAGCCATTCCTTCCTCAGTAAAACTTTCCTGGAAACACACTCAGGGATGGGTTTCCACAGTGGTTCAATGTCTATCTTAGCTGGGGTTTCTGTTGTTGTAAAGAGACACCATGACCACAGCAACTCATAAAAGAAAGCATTTAATTGGGGCTGGCTTACAGTTCAGAGCTTACTCCATTATCATCATGGAGGGGAGCGTGCTGGTACACAGGTGCTGGAGGAGTAGCTGAGAGCTGTACATCCAAATCTGCAGGCAGCAGGAAGAGAGCCCCTGGGCCTGGCTTTAGGCTTTTGAGACACTTCCTCCAACAAGGCCACACCCCCTAATTCCTTCAAATAATGCCACTCCCTGATGCCCAAGGATTCAAATCTATAAGCCTATGAGGGCCATTCTCATTCAAACCACCACGATGACCAAGTTGACAATGAAGATTAACTTTCACAGACATCATTTTGCTTTGATGTAATTTTCCCCTTTCTATTCAGCATCCTTTGTTCGGATACTTCCTGTGAATTTGTATTGGTCCTTACCACTGAGGGCATTGCAATCCTCGGTTGTACAGAGAGTTTTGCAATGCCTCTGGCTGGCTCTAACCTCCCTTTTCCTTTCCTAGAAGATCTCCTGTTCTTCCCAAAGGCTACACCCACCTCTCTCCTGACTCCAGGGCCTCTGTGTCCTCAGACTTTGCTGACACATTAGATTCCAAACTTACTGTCTTTTCCCAGATGAATCCCTGCTCGTTCACTTTTGGCATTGTGAGAGCCCAACACACATCTCCTTGGGATTGTGTCTCCTGTGCTGGTGTCCATGGCTCTGGTTGACATAGATTGTGGGGAGACAACAGGTACCTTCTTTTGTCCACAGATGTGAGGAGGCTGGGCCCACGTTTCCAAACTTTATTAATTCATCTATTCATTCACAGCTGGATGTGCTGGCACCTACCCTGGAAAGCAAAGCTTTCCAGGCCTAGGCTGTTTTCCTTTCTGAGACCGCCTTACTTTCTGATTTAAAAAATAATAATTGTGCAAAAGGGGGGAGGAAATGCTAGAGAAAGCCCTCGCTCCTGAAACATGACAAGATTTGTGTTGGCCAGGCATGGTGGTGCATGCCAGAAATCCTAGCATGAAGGAGGATGGCAAGGAGACAGTTTGAGGACAGCCTGGACTACGTGGGAAGTCCCTGTCTCATACACACAAAAACAAGCTTTTTGCTAGATGGAATAGGATAATATGATGATGATAAATGTAATGTCATAATAACAATAATCACTATATTCTCATGACACCCATGGAATCCACATTGGAGTTCCCCTTACATCTACCACTCTATAGCAAATGAAAGCAGCTCAGAGCATTTAAGGTCACAAGGGCCAGCCAGTGACACCACAAGTGGCTCTAGGTGGTCTCTAAGCACTGTCGCGCTCCAGTTGGTCAGAGGCCCTAAGGCAAGCTTTTTGGTGAGGCTCAGCATAGACACCAAAAAGAGAGGATGAGTCAACACGACAGAGCTAGAAGTGGCAAGACTTGGGAGAAAACAGCCAGATGCTGTGAGGGACAGGGTTAGCCCAACAGACAGCTGGGGACAGCTAAGAGGCAGGTGTCCTGAGAGCTGGCCTGTGAGGGAAAGGGTTAGCTGAACAGACAGCTGGGGATGGCTAAGAGGCAGGTGTCCTGAGAGCTGGCCCCTCCTAAGAAAGGAAGATGAAAGGATTGGGGCAAAGAGCAGAACATGAGGAGGACCTTTTCTATGCACAGGTGCCTGGGTTACACTGCCAGAAAATAGTGGGGCCTCATAGAAAATGCCCCCCCCCAAGCTTCCACAGGCGGAGAGGTCGGGCTTTGGGTCCTCCACTGGCCGAGTTAGGGTTGGAAGCAGGGTGTGTAGCCCTGAGGGGCTATCCACACAGGAAGAATCAATTAGGTTGTGTTCACATGAAGAAGGGAGGGTAGGCCTTTAATCCTAGCACTCGGGATGTAGAGGCAGGCAGATCTCTGTGAGTTCGAGACCTGCCTGGTCTACAAGAGCTAGTTCCAGGACAGCCTCCAAAGCCACAGAGAAACCCTGATATGCAGCACCCCCCCCCCCAAAAAAAAAAAAAAAAAAAGAAGGGCGGGTAGCTGTCGCTCCTGCCCCTCTGCACTGTCTGGCCTCCTGACCTGAAGAAATCTCAGCAAAGGAGGATGGAGGGAGGGGTCCTAAGGCCTGGGGTTGAAGGAGGCCTCATCTACAGAATAACTCTGGGGATCCCCACCGCAGTTCTTTGAGGGTCAGCAGAAGGTAGTCTTCAGAAAGGAGCAAATGCCTAAGAGGCCACCTTTGTCACTCCCACCCTCTGGACTTCTTGGAGAGTACCAAGGCCAAGAATAGCTACTTGACTACTAAAATTGTTGGGCACTTTAGAACCACCCAGTCTCACTAAGTGTCCAGACCTCTGGGTAAGTGAGGCGAGAGGCCAAAAAGGCCATCCCAATATGAAAGCAACCTGCAAGTACACAAACCACAGTAGAAGCCCCAGTGGGGTCAGAAGAGGCCTAGAAAAGCTAACCAGTGGAAAGGATAGCAGGGAGCCATAGGCAGGTGCTCTGAGGACCAGGCTGCCAGCCTCACACTCAGCTAAATTCTTCTCACAGAGGACCAGGGAGTCCCAGGGAAGAGATGTGAAATTCAGAAACAGAGTGGAACATACATGGGGAACTACTCTCACTTTCTGAATGTCTGAACTCCAACTCCCTAAAGAATT